TCCACAGGCCTAAAATATTTAAGAGATCCCTCTCTACATATCTCAAAACAGAATGCACCTGTCATGGTTGATTATATATTTCTTACCTGTTCTATGTTAAAGTTTGTATACATGTGTAACAATGCAATGTTTTGGTCCCAGGATATACTTAAAACTGAGAGAAATCTCAATGTATCCTTCCTGGGAAAATATTTTATAAATAAATTAGTTAATTAATGTGTTAATATCTATGGCTGGATTAAGGGTTAATTCTGCTTACTGGATAGGAATTTTCCAGTGGACTTCAATTGAGGAAGTGCTATTCAGTAAGCAAAGTAAACCCTTAAATCCAGCTTTTAAAACCATGTTGCTGGTGATTATCTGTTTGCTTTGTGGTAGAGTTCAGCTATTATCATTTTTAAAAGTGGCACTCTTAGGACCATGAATGTACTGTAAAAGCAATGGGTACTGGTGGCACTTTAGAATTATTGAGATTGCCGCCTGTCTTTAGATTCACATAGGGATGAAATAAATATATATTAATTATTAAATGGAAATTCAGATACAGGCAAATATACTTTGCCTGTATCTAAAGAGGAGGCCAGACTGTGGCAGCCTGAGACTCAGGTAAGTGTCAAATCATTTGAAAACCATTTGACAATGAGATGGCGCAAGAGGTTTCCTGGCATCCTGAACTTGTACAACATTCTACAGTGGATATGGCACGTAAAGGTCTTTTCAATGAGTCAACCCCAATCAGCTATCACTCTTCCTCTCCTGAAGCACTTCTACACATGTCAATTAAATTAAAAAAGGAGTAAAAAGATGTTCTCTCAAGCATTGCCAAGAGCATATACATAAATTCTTGTGCATGAATAATAGTAGAAGGTTATGACATTTCACCACTTGTGTAAGCAACAAAAAAGGATAGGTAAATCTGAACACCACCAACAAAGTAGCAATAGTTATTGTCGAGTATAAGGGAATAAATAATAATTGTGATAAGTGAAACAGATACAGAGAGAAAACCACTTCTCAAACTGTGCCCCCCCCAGATGTTAATGGCATACAAGTTTCAGAATTCTTTACAAAATGTCCCTCCTAATAGTGAAGGTACAATACTGTGCAATAATTGGAGGGTCAATACTTTAAGCTGTAAACTAATTGACTACATAATCACTCTTGGCATGGACTTGGAATGATGGCTTGATAAAGACTTTTGTTAGTTGAAACGCTGATTTAAATTCCAAATAAAAGATTGCACTGGATATATGCTGTGACGGTCCAACCCTCCCTGACCGTCTTGGGTTCCCTTTCTCCCAGTAGTTAGCGAATAATCCTTCCAGGCAGAGTATAGACACAAGCATAGCATAACCCTCCACACATGAGCTGAGGCTTAAAGATCTGTTTAATGCACACAAAGCAACAGTATTCATGCAGTAAAACCACTCCTGCTCTGAGGAAAAACAAAATTACAGTTATAAGGGTCAGACAGTGTTTGAATATATTACAGTTATTAAGGGTTTAAATTGGTGTTCTAAGGGGGGGAGGGGGGAGGAGTGGAGAACAAAACAGTCAAACTAAGTCCATAAAACCGAGTCTGAGTCCAGTTCAGATGGGTCTTGGCAAGTTGGGTGGACTGACTCATGATGAGGAGGTCATCCAAATAAATTATGACTCGTACTCCTCGACTCCGCAATAAAGCCGTCACGGGCTTCATGAGTTTGGTGAAGCACCACGGGGCTGAGGATAGTCCGAATGGGAGGCAAGTGAATCTCCACTTCCTTCCCTGCCAGATGAATTGCAGGAAGTCTTGGTGTTGCGGGGCGATAGGCACTGTAAGATAAGCGTCTTTTAGATCTAGCTTCACCATCCAGTCTGCTGGTTGGAGGAGATCTCTTAGGCAATGTATTCCTTCCATCTTGAAGTGGTTGTAGGAGACATAAGTTTTGAGTTGTTTCAAATTGATCACTGGGTGGACCCCTCCGCCTTTCTTGGCAACTAGGAACAGGTTGCTCACATAGCCTGGTGTGGCCATAGGGATTTCTGAGATGGCTCGTTTGCGCTTCAAATCCGAGACTTACTTGGTGACCAGGGTTTTGTCTTGTAGGGAAAAAGACATGTCCCGCGGTGGGGAGTATTGTACGGGTAG